TTCCAAACAATGTCCAATAATGGCGGCACCTGTGACCAGGAGAGTTTGGCTTCGTTTTTGCACAACTGTAGGAAGTGAAGCCGCATCATCAATCTTTATAGATATGATTTGGGATATGATGGTGGACGTCCACGTGAACGTATTTCCTAAAATGGGAAACTTTTTTTCCAATAAAAGCAGATTCTCCCTCTGAGCAGCTGTGGATTCAGATTGTTCCTCGTTCTGTTTAATTACCCCAAAAGATGCACATTGAATGATTTTAATATACGTCTTTGATTCCAGGAAAACTCAAATTGAGGTTATATATGAGTCATTTCCATCTGCTGCTGTGTGCAGCTGCACAAAGCTCCGAAGCATTTTGTCAGACCAACAGTAAATTGGCTGATGTTTGTGTCTCTGCTGACAAAACGGAGGAACCTGGATCCCACCGGATTTTTTTTTTTTTTAGTGCGGGGGTGTTTTTACAGATTCAGGCCCGAAAGGGGAAATCAGTCCAGCTCCAGCTTTGACAAAAACACACATCTATCGTCAAGATCAGAGGATTGAACCACACATTCAAACTTCCCCTGAGAAAACCTGCTGCTATCAAGACGTGAGAAAAAAAATAACTAACCAAGATTCATGTTTCCCAAAATACTCTCAACCCGTGCAGCTCTCTGTTTCTTGATTTTACACATTTCAGAAGTTATTTTAAAGCAACACTACATTTAAACAGCAGCTAAATTAAATTGAGTTTGATGTTTGAGTGAGTGTGAACATGGAGAAAGTTTCCTCCTTCATTCTCTGAACGTCTGGTCTACGTAACTGTGGTGAGTGGGTTCGATCTCCTGTGAGAAGTGACAGAATCTGTAGATCAGTTAAAAACACTGAGAAGTTATTTAAATGTCCAATATTCAGCAGGAAACTTTGAAAATATAAAGAATTCTCGACAGAGTTTGGTGGATTTGTTACAGCCGCAGCTCCTCTGGCTCAAGAAGCCGGGGATCATGGGTAATATCCCGGGTTCAGTTGTGTTTCAGGTCAGTAAGAGGGACGATGCTTTTGTTTTATCTCTACATGAAAATCACTTTATTCCTACATGTGGCTGCAGGGGGCGCTGTTGTTACGTAGTGTTGCTTTAAGCTTCGACTCTGGTGGGGGAGAAAAAAAAGAAAACTCAGTGTGTTGGCTCAGCGACGGGAGGAGAGAGCTGTTTTAGGTTAGAAATGCTCCAGAGGACGCTAATATCTGTGTCATGTGCTGGAGGTGGAGAAACACTGGAGTCTGACTCCGGCTCGGCAGAGGGATCACCTCCTCTGTGTCTGACGTTCAGCTGTGAGACAGGAAGCTGACAACAGCTGGAACAAGGTGTCGTCTGTGTGGGGGTCAGTCGCCTGTCAGGACCTCTCCACCGGCTGCAGGAGGCAAATATGGCAGGAATGTGTGGTTCTGCTGCCAGAGGACCCACTGATGTCCCCGAGACACCCACACTGTCTCCAAAACAATGTCCCTTCTGAGGCTGCAGGGAGCATCATGGGAAACAAACATCTGCAATAGCGCTATACAGTCAAAACCATGGACTGTATATAACGACCGACGACGAGTGAAGGCAGCTGATCGCCCCCTGCTGCACAGGACATGAACCTGGCCTCACATCACACTGATGCATGTTTGGGTTCTGACTCCAGACTCCACCTTCAAACCACGTCACCTCTGCAAGATGGCAGACATTTCAATCTGGACATTTAGGCTTCACTTCATCTTTATTTGATCTTTATTTGATCTTGGATCAAAGCCTTAAGAAGCTTTGTCATCTTGTTCTGTTGTTCACTTGATGAAAGCAGATGTAGAAGATTAGGACGTGTAACAGCAACATCATGGGCTTTGATTTTTTTTTTTTTAGCAGTTGTAGCAGATGACCCTGTGTGAACGTCGTCGTGTTTCTCCTCCCTCATCGTCTAGAAAAACAGAAATTGCCTCAAAAGCATCGAGCGTGTGTTCAGAAACGTTTCGACATGAACTCATATAAATTCACAGCACATCCGCTCCTTTAGCCCACAGCCGTCTTCAAAAAAACAGTATCGGTGTACGAAGCGGTTAGAATTGAAGAGCAAGACGAGAGGCGCCTGTAGCCTTCCCCAAGCAGAAGGCAGAGAGTGTGTGTGTGTGTGTGTGTGTGTGTACAGCTCAGAAGGCACAGCTCTCAGCCAGACAACATGTTAATGTTTGTGTGTTTAAAAGAAATGAAGGTAGCAGTGTTGGCGATGGAGCAGCTGCAGCTGAGTGACGTCCAGCAGCAGGACTAGGCACGAAAGCATGAACGATGTGTGTGTGTGTGTGTGTGTGTGTGTGTGTGTGTGTGTGTGTGTGAGAGACAGAGACAAAACACTAACATGTCCATACTCACTGACTCTCAAAACGAGCCCAGCTCAACACTAAAGCATAAAATCTGTTATGTGCAAAGTTGGATCAAAACACTGGAAGCAGAAAGTGCAACGGTGAAACATGAGTCATGTGTGGTCACACAACATCACTAACAGACAACACAATAAAAACAGCAACACAACTGAAAGTAGCATCAGAGGCACATTTCTACCCATCACCCCCCGGGGGCGCTACAACGCCCCAACCCTCCTCACTATATGCACGTGAACAGAAGTGATCAAAACATGAATAAAGACGATGTCACGTGGTTTTATCCCTAAACTTCTGACGTCACACTCAACTGTCTGCTGTGTGTTCACACCTGCTGCAGCTGTCGGCTCTCACACTTCCCACAGAGCCTCGACTCATAACTTCAAACGTCTTCCTCACCATTGTTTCTCATCGTTTATAATGCAGCATTAAATACGTCACTTTTCTGGGTATTCTGGTGGAAATGTTTCTACACATAACTATGAAAATGATTCTTAATTGATTCGTATTAAATTGTTGTTTTTGTCTGTGCCGCTCACACTGGTTAGGTGTGGCCCGGTTGGATAAATGTGATGTCACTTGTTTCCATGCTTCTTAAGATTTCAGCAGTGAACTCGTAACAGAGGAATAACTGACAAGGTTTTTCTTTTTCAAACTTCCCTTGTGGAGTTTTTGTTAGATTCAGTTTTGTTACTGAAGACACTGAGTGTGTATGAGGTCTAACAAAACATGTCCACTGCATTTCCGTCCTCATGAAACAATTGGAAAGGAGATTGTTTTTTTGATTTGTTTATATCCATGTTTAACTTCTTCTTCTCCTCCTTTGTCGATGCAGCGACCCGTGCATGTGATTTTACATGTACAAGAATGAAAACATCACTCCATAACACTAACATTCATCTGAAACTCCACAGGACATGTTTAACTTTGAATATCGTCAATATTTGAGATTTGAGTGAACTGAGACTTTTACCTTTTCCACTGTTTCTGCTGAGCAAAACATGAAGTAACTGTTGATTCATTCAAAATTCAAAATCATAGATACATTTAGTGTAAATGCTCAGTGCAGATTTTAGTCATCGCACTTTGAAAACCACACCTATGTAGAACTCCGCAGCTCTTTCTTTATAAACACGTCTGTCACATCGTGTGAAGAGGAATTTTACAGCTGCAGCTCAAAACAAACACTTTTGTTTTCCTGCTTCTCTGAGGAAACGTCTGTTGGATATTTGTTTTTTCCTTCACAAATACTTGTTCATGTGTCCTTGACCAACAATGGAGGATTTCAATTTGTAAATCGTTTGAGAATGGAACCATTAATGTGCCAAAGTGTAAACTCAACGCTAAACAGAAGAAAACTAACAGCTGAGATCTGCAGGAGGACATGCCCTCATCATGAGGACCGGAACAGGAAGTGCAGTTTATGCAGAACGGGGGTGAAGTCTAAGGCGTCTGGTGGCTACACCCCCTCCAGACATAGCCGATGATCTAATTGGCTGAGCAGGGACCAGGGCTGGTGGTTAATGAAGCTGAGCTGCTGACTGAAGTTAAAGAGTTCCCAGATCCAGTGGGAGTTTCTCTCACCTCATCATATGAGTCTAATCTGGGGCGACACCACTTCACTGGGACACAGGAGTCAGGTTAGAGTGTGAAATTTGTGACGGAGAAAAGAAGCTGCTTTATTTTATTTTTTTTGTCTCAGTCCTTTAAAAAACCCAGGTGGTGAACACAGCACAGATTGTGTGTGAGTGTGAAGAGGATAAACAACACCGGGGAAACTTTTTAGCTTCATCCTATAAAACACTGGAGCAAATGACGTGTTTCTAATGCTGGCTTTGTCAGACCGGCTCTTCATGCCCCAGCTCTCCGTCTGCAGTCCTCCTCCCAAATTAGACCCTCACAGACCACATGGGGATTCAACTCAGGTCCAGAAACCAGCGTGCCTCCATCCAAACATGAAATCCCGGGAGATGGACTTTTGGCCTCATTAGAGTCTCACGAAGTCAAACCAACACTCTCCCTCCGAGTCTGGATGTGAGTCAGGAGTCTGTTGCTGAACCTGTGGTTTCTGATGCACTGAAAATCAGGTCGGAGAAGCTGATTCTAGTGCCGCAGCCAACGTTTCTGAGTCAGAATGGCCCAAAAGCAAAAGTCTTGAATAGATCTGCGAGGTACCGAAGCCTCGCTGAGGCTGGCTTGGACCTCGGGGGGGGGGGGGGGGGGGTTTAAAGGACACTCCCACAGCAATCGCCTGTTATCTCATAATCAATCATTTTACAGAGTTAGTCCTTGAGACGCTGTCTTCTGAGGCAGAACTCACGTAAAGTGGAAATAAGACCGGTGAGAGATGTTTTACCTCGTATGTGATTTGAGGAGAACAATTCTCTCTCAAGTGACGGCAAATCAAAAACAGGCCCTGGGGTCCTGATAGGGCTGCAGGTGTCGTCCCGTTGTTTCCTCAGTGTCCGTAACCTCTGTCTGGTCTGGTGTTTGTTAATATCCACAGGTTAGAAGGTGAAAATGATTTGTCAGTTTGCTGTCGGACACCATGTGGCCCCCTCGATGCTAATGGTACAGTGAGGGTGGTATTTTCAGTATGTTGCATGAATTGATGACTAATTCCACTGGTTTCAGTCCAGAGGTGGGACATTTATCTGTGAGACCTGTCCCTCTCCGGCTGTCTCGGCACTGTACACAGTCAAAAGTCGGTGTAGGTGGTGAAGCTGCCCTGGGAGAGAGATCGGTGGTCTTGTCTTTCACTCCTCACGCTGGCTGTTAATGTTGAGCCAGTTACCTCACAGTCAAATTTAAGGCTCCACACTCACTCTAGTGTCAGAGAGCACAACTACAAACGGATCTACATGAATCCCTGTTCCTGGATCCTAAGAAGCTTCACCACGTTCTCCGATCAGAACCAAGACTGGCGAACTTGTACCAGTTCACTTTGACACTTCGTCTTGCCTTCAGTTTGGATTTGATCAACATCATCTGCAAACCAGAACTGAAAGAGCAAAGTGAAAGTGAGAATATCTAACACATTCTAAGTGTTTGTTTCCTAACATGAAACCTAAGATTCATGCTGCGTGATTTGCTGGTTATTTCCCAGGGAATACAGTGATTTTTCCGGCCTTGGCCAGCTGCTGAATTATCTGGGCTTCGTAGTCGGCATCGTGGACGCCCGTCTTCCTGAACTCTCCCGAGTAGCGGTTCTGCTCCCAGTAGTGGTGCCAGTTCCCGCGGCTGTCGGCCCCGAAGCCAAACACATTCACCTGGAGGAGATCGACAAGCGAGTGTCAGACGCCGATGTGTGTTTCCACAAGAAGAATATGAGGTACGGAGTTTTACGGTATGTGGTGACACTGTGGAGGCAAAGTGGATCACTGACCTCGTCACAGACGTGAAGGGCAAAGAACAGCACCAGCATGCCAGTGGAGGGGTAGCGCCCGTGATGTCGGGTCCAGTGGTCGTGGATGTATTTAAAGAATGCTGGGTTGAAGATCTGGACCTGGACGGTGGACAAAGACCCAGAGACAAGCAGAAAAAGACTATTAAATTGCTCAAAACGAAACAATCCCGATTCCCATCTGCAATGGGAATGGAATTTAATCTGCATTGATGTCGAACATGACGAACCAGGAAGAAAGCATGAGGCAAACTTGGAAAGGAGTCAATCGGCTTTTTAGTGGGTTCATCCATGTTTATAAAAACTTCTACACCAGCTAACTCTGCTGTAAAACAGGTACAAGACTCAAACTGAATGTGTTGTTGTCATTCTCCACAGCCTCATATTCACAAAGATTTAGATTTAATTTACACGTCGTTCAGAGCTGTACAGAAACACAGGGAAGATAATCTCATGCAAATTGCATTTGCATTTTCACAGGGTCCAACCTAACGAGAAAAGAGTTTGAGTTTGAATTCTCTCTGTGGTTTTGATTGCTCTGAAAGATTAAAAGCACGGTTAAACAAATGAGTGGTGATTATAAATGTATTATCTACCTCCCGGTGATGTACAGACACAACAAACAGGGAATTATGCTGCTCGGAGCGTCGCACTAATCTACAGTTTAGTCTCTGCTCCACTGACACTGTAATGACGGGTTCTATGAGCAGGTGAAGATGTTCATGAAGACGTCACAGGATGGGGATTAATTTGAGTGTATTTATATTTTCGTGGATTAAAGAGCGAGCGGAAAATGAAGGGCAGGTTATAATCTAACTGTAATCCTTCATCAACCATGAGGAGGGGCTGGTATAGTTGCAGACACAGGGGTCAAAGTGTGCGTGTGTACTTATACTGTATGTATGTGGCGTGTACTTCTGGTACCAGAAGCGATAAGTCAAATTCATACCTTGTCTTTATCGACACGGAGGAACTGCTTCACTGGAGCGTAGGTACTGAGAGAGAGAGAGACAGAGAGAGAGAGAGAGATAGAGACATTGATTAAACACACCCAATCAGCACTTGAAGTGATTGCTGCAGCAATGAATTCTGGATGATTGACAGCTGACAGATTTTTCCAACCCAGTGACTCTCTGGCTTCTCATAACTTTGCTGTGTGTGTGTGTGTGT